CGTGGCATCAGGAAGGTTGAGAACCACTGCTTTAGAGTATTTTGTGTAGGTAAGCGTTTAGAGTTCAGAAACCGAGCATCAGCTCCGTCAAAGGCTATCGGAAAAGGCCAGTCCCGGTGCCGGGGTTCATAACGAGCCTCCCAAAGGCTGAATACCTGCTGAACTCAAGTTTCCATGGCAGCTTCACCCTTACCATTCTTCAAACAGGAAAACTACAGTCCGCCTGCAATGTATATACATCTTCTATTGCTAAGGAGACTGTTTCACTCAGAATTATAAGCACACGAGACTCTGGATAAGCTGTCTTGCCCAGTTTGTTCAGTTGCACTGGCCTTCACTCGTCTGCCCCACCTGTCACCTGCCACTGTGCTGTGGACCCTCGGCAGCAAGGACTATCCACCCCCTACCGCCACTGCGCACATCACACGCTCGCTCACCTCCACACGTACACAAGCACACTTAATGCCCCCAGACTGCCTCTGGTCTTCTTCCTCTTTTAAAACATGACATGCGTTAACTCACAACGTTTATAATGTTCATTTCTAGAGGATTGGAAATGAAGTAAATAAAGTTCATGTTTGAAAATAAAATGTGTAAGCTTCTTCCAGGATAAGAGAAATGGTTTGCTGTTAAAAGAGCAACACTTGACTTAAGTACTTCTAAAGCTAGATTCAGTTTTTAAGCAGTTGCTAAAAAACTAGTGAGGTTTAAGGTGACCTATTTAGGAGAAACAGTTCTTCATTGTGTTCGATTAGAAAGCTAATCTGCCTATGGAAAACACCACACACACACACACACACACACACAGTCCTTTCTCCTTACCCTTTCTTTATCGGACCCCACTTCTCTACAAAAGTAAAGGGAATACTCTGGGGGAGTAAAGCAGAAAGTGGGTCAACCATGTACAGTTACAGGGGAGGGTTTCACACCTACCATTACTGAATCAGTTCGGCTGAAAAACTGGGTTAGTTTGGTCCCTCGAGCAGTAGAAAGCCCTCGCTCTCATCCTCGGGCGCTGTCGGAGCTCCGATGTTCTACCCATCACCCAGGAGCTGACGTCCTTGATGGTCTAAGTGTCTGATCCCCCAGATCTCACAACCCTCCTGCCCCTGCGTAGGGACCCTGTGGTCCTATAAGGGTGGCTTCTGTCTCCTGAGAGGCCTCCTCTAAGCTGAGATGGACTCCAACAGGACAGTGCCCCGACCCTGCGATGGTCCATGATGTGAAGTGCCTGCCAGGGTGGCCTGACTGCGCCCAGGGGACCACAAACGCTGATCTCAGAATCTCTGGCACTTCCCAAAATGCGGCCGAGCAGTAATTTGGAAGCCTAAACTCTGACTTTAGGAATTCATAAGAACAGCCGATGTTTTACAAACTCAACGGAAAGTAAAATAAACAAACCCAGGATTTTATGCTTCCTCTTGTTATTTTTATGGCAGTCTTTCAAACTAGTTCAAAATGTTCAGTCCTCTACCCTCTCAAGAAATGCTGAATTGGGGGTGGGGGCGGGAAGCAAACAGCGATTTAACAGTAACCGGCCTCGGGGAACAGTGCTTAGAAGGAAGCTCTGAGGTGCGAGTGCGCAGGTGGCTTTCAGGCTGGCACTGACGTTTCTCTCCGTCCCCTGCTTCTCATGGAAGAGGCCCCAGAAAGGAACAGAGGATGTTTATATTTACCCAGAAGTGTGCGTGGCAATTGACCATCATGGTTCTCTCAATGAGCTCATCAGGACATTCCAGGAGGTGGTGCCCGGAGACCACGCCGGCGTTATTGACCAGGACCGAGACCTCGCCAACCTCCTTGCGGACCCTTTCCGCCGTCAGGTAGACATTCTCCCTCTTTCCCACATCGCAGGTGTAGGTAAACACCTGCAGGTTACAGTGGGGCAGGATTTCTTCCTCGCCATTCCCAGCTGTCCTCAGAAGTCCAGATGAGGGGCGGGGTGGGGGGGCGGGGAATGGAACAGAGAAGGGAGGGGGTTTGCAAAACGTGAGTCACATGGCAATCAGTAGGACAAAGATCACACAAAACAAAAATTCTACAGTGAGCTTCAGATTTCTAACACCGTGAGGCTTGCCAATGACTGAGCTTACAGCTGCTTCCCTCCCTGAAAAGTCTTGGGGAATTACAGCAATTTGCTGGAGAGCTTTGCTTAGGGGGAAATCATGTAACTGTGACAAGCCCAATACAAGTCAGACCTCATGGGATCAGCTTCCTGGAGCGAAAGACACCTGGAAAGAACTGATCTGGGCCCAGGGAGCAACACCCCTCCTCCCAAGCACACAGTACACACTCCTCTTGGGTGGGACAGTGGCCAGAAGTGGATTTTACTCTAGTATGAGCACCCTCAAAATGGAAACTCACCTCAAGGCTCACAAATCAACGCTGTAACTAATAATCTGAATTCATCCAAAGCCAATAAATGATCCTAGAGTTTCTCAGGAAAAGTGCACACTGGTGTGTTCGAACTGGCATAGCACCCTTACACAAATCAAGTTCACAGGTAACTATGCCATGTTATCACACTAGAACTCAATTTAAAAACCACAATCTCTGCCCTGGAAAACGAATAGCTTTCTCTCTTTTCCCAGGGAGCACAAAAATCTGTATTTGCTGCCCTCCAAACCATCGTTGAAAATGTAACATTTTTAACCTTTGATTTTTCTGACCTAAACAGCAGGTGCCAATAATTTTGGCGACAAATGATCAATATGGGGGAGGGGTGGTGCCCAAGTTAATCTTCTCTGTACAGTTCAATGTTTCCCCTGGAAACCAAACATCTTGTTAAAAAGCAAAAGTGATTGTCAAATTTCCTGGCCTAATCAATACTTATGTTTGGTGGTGGTCTCCACGTTTGTTTGTTTTTAAAGTCTCAGATTCATGTCAGTTGATAAATATACAAAAACGCAGATTTCCTGAGGCCACCAACATGGAAAAAATTTTCCAAAGGGCTCAAGTCATTCAAGCTCTGTCTCAAGAAGCGGTGCAGCGCGTCTTTCCATCAGGCTAAGTGTCTAACTAAAGTACGTACTTATCTCTGGTGACACAATGTAATTATTTTCTCGTGATTAAAGTTACAGTGAAATCAGCGCGGCCCTCGTCTACGAGGCTCAGACCACAGGAACCAAACGTGCATCTGTCCGCTCCGAGAACAACTTCCCAGACAAGTTTCCCAGCGCCAAGGCGATGGGGCATTTCTCTAAGATTCAAGCCTGTGGACACAAGTGCCCTCGGCCTTCCCCGTCCTCAGAGACACCGGACCTCGGCTAAGACAAGGGTTTGGCACACGTCCCTTTAAAACAGAGGCGATCGCGCTCCTTGATGGGGAGGGGGGGCCGTGTAGGTGTGTGTATGGGGGGGGGGCCATGTCTCTTCCAGGACAGCCAGGCTGACCGCGGCAGTGGGGGTTCGGAGGGGGGGCCCCCCAGGTGGGCGCGGGGCCCGGGAGGGGCTGGACTCAACAATGCTGGCGAGGGCGGCGCGGGCGCGGGTGCGGGTTACCTTGCAGCGCCGCGGCGTCCGCCGCCTCCAGGTCGCGGTAGATGTGGCGCACCATGCCCGCCGTCTCCTCGTTGCTCTGCGTGTTGATGTCCCAGAGCACCAGCAGCGCCCGGCGCCGGGCGAACTCGAGCGCGAAGAGGCGGCCCAGGCCGCTGCCCGCGCCGGTGATCAGGCACACCTGGCCCGCCACGCTCTTCTCCTTGGGCCGCACCAGCCAGCGCGCCGCGGCCAGCACGAACGCCCAGAGCACTTTGAAAGTGACCACGAAGAACTCCACCACGATGTTCATCGCGACGCCGGGG